CCACCACTCCCCGTCGCTCTCTCCGCCTCCTCTCCGATCCCAAAACCCCCCAAAAACGGGATCGGATCCTCTCCAGATCCGATAACCCAACTCCCCCCGTTACCCCATCTCTACCCGAATCCAGAAAGCGCAAACCCCGAAACCCTAACCCTAAGTCTCCCAAAACCCTAACCCCTCAAAAACCCAGGAGGATCTACTACAAGAAGGTGATCTACGATGGGGGCGAGTTCGAGGCTGGGGATGATGTGTATATTAAGAGGAGAGAAGGGGCGGAGTCCGATGAAGAAGAGCCTGAAGTCGAGGAGTGCCGGATTTGTTTTAGGGTTGGGAGGTCGGTGATGATTGAGTGCGATGATTGCTTGGGTGGGTTCCATTTGGGGTGCTTGAAGCCGCCGTTGAGGAAAGTTCCTGATGGGGAATGGATCTGTGGGTTTTGTGAGAGGAGGAGGAAAGGGGAGGTTCTGGAGATGCCGAGGCCGCCGGAGGGGAAGAAGTTGAGGAGAACAGCAAAGGAGAAGTTGTTGTCTAGTGATTTGTGGGCTGCCCGGATCGAAAGGTAACGAGGAACTCTGTAAAATTTGAAATTTTTTCGGTTTGATGCTTATATTTTTTTTCAATTTTGGTTAAATAGTGGGAAATGGGTGAATGTATAACCAGTGAAAGATAGAATTTTGAAGTTTAGGTGATTTATGGAAGGTCAGTCATAATTTTGGTTGGGTATGGGTCATAATTGTACTATTTAATTAGAAATGCATATGTTCGTAATGATTTCTAGTGTTAGTTCTCTAGTTGCTTAAACTTATGTCATATAATGGCATAAAATTCAGTAGTTAATTGTAGTCCTGATTGCAAAATGCAGGAGTAAAACATAAAATTTAGACTAATTTCTAACTATAAGGCAAACTTGAAATCGGAAGGAAATATAAGAAGAAAATATCTTTCTTATTTTATTGGATAAGAAGAAAAGATCTTTCTTTTTTTATCTATGTATTGTAAAATAAGAATCCTCTTTTGACTTTTTCAATGACAAGGACCTTGCTACTGCCTACCAGCATGCCAATTACTTGACATGGCTCACTTTACCATTCCACCGAATCACCTGTAGTCTACTCTTGCTTTTTAACTTTTTGTACATAAGTTGTTTGGTGTGGTAATTGCTTCTTTATGATGTTTAGACTACCTCTAGACTTATTTGTTGAAGATGAGCAGAACATGATCTAATTAGATAGAGTTATATATCTGAGATTTTATAGAGTGACTGTGAAATTATGTTGAACTTGGAGTAATTGTGAATTGTTATTTTGTGGACCTTTTTGTTTTCTGTGCAATGCTTTGCGCTGTTTTAATGAAAATAAGTGGATCATGGAAATATAGTATAAGAGTTAGATGTGATTCAATTGAATAATTAATGATATGAAATATATTATTTATTCATGTTTTGGGCTGCTTGGCTGCCTCTAGGTTATGGAAAGAACCTGATGGGAGCTTCTGGATGAGATGTCGTTGGTATATGATTCCAGAAGAGACTGCGGTTGGGAGGCAACCTCATAACTTACGAAGGGAACTTTATCGCACAAATCATTCGAGTGACATTGAGGTGAAAATTTTCATTTATCTTTTTTTTATAAAAAAAATTCACATTCTGATGATAATGAAGTTTGGTAGTGGTTTATGTTTCTTTTGAATTGATTAGCCAATTTCAATATACCAATATTTGCATTGGTTTTGGACTAATTATGACAATAATCTCTATCATGATGATGGTTCTTCCTCAATATATCAATCAATTCACATACTTATATAACTATGAACAATGAGAATTTTTTTGATCTTTCGTCACGACGTTGAAATTCAAGAGCATATCAACCAACAAAAAACTGTCAATTATGGTATTCTAGGATTTACAAATACTTGCTAAACGCTTTTTTTGCTGCAGCTAATTCAAGGGTCAAGTTGAAACTAGCCTAAATTAGTCTATAAATATTTGCTACTCTTTCTGGCACAGCGAATTACTTTGACTAAAGTTGTTTACAGGAAACATTGGTCGGTATGGTCGAACTTGAATAGTTGTCAAGGTGTAGATTCACAACTACTAAATAAACCGTTGTGGGGTCATATATTTAGTTAGAAACAATTTTACTGAGCCTTTTACTATGTCCACCTAAATTGCATAGATTTTTCTTTCTATTTACTTTTACTTTGCTACTTTAGAAGAACTGGACACGCATGTGGATAAAAATCATAATGCATAATATCCTATGTTTACATAACTTGATTCCTTAATCTGCATCAGATGGAATCGGTCATTAGGCACTGTTCTGTTTTGAACCCGAAGGAGTTCTCTGAAGCCAACAATGAGGGAGATGATGTATTTTATTGTGAATACGAGTATGATGTCCGTTGGCACAGTTTCAAGCGTATTGCAGATATTAATGATGATGATGATGAAGAGGAGGTAGGTGTTCTTAATTAATAAGGATTTTAATAAACTTTTGGAAAAATATGTTTCCTATCATATCTGAAGTTCAATTGTTCTTATTGGCTTACATTTAGAATAATGGAAGAACTGAGAAAGATGAGGAATGGAAAATTTCCAAGGATACAGGTTGTGAAACAGATGACGATTCAGAAAATGAAGATGTAGCTGCGGAATCTACTTCTTGCAAGCATCCGACTCATGAGCTGGCTGCAGTATGCTTCTTAGTCTAGGCTGAACAGGTTTCTATTGTTAGTTCAGTTTATAGTGCTGCATTTTATATATTTTTTGCAGAACTCACGCAAGGGAAGAGCATTTGGCCTTCACAAGATAGGAATAAAGAAGATCCCGGAGCATGTACGTCGCCATAATCAAACTGAATTGGAAAAGGCAAAGGCAACACTGCTACTGGCAACATTGCCTAAATCCTTGCCTTGCAGAAATAAGTACGTACTACTTGCTCAGATATTTTCTGGTTCATTGCATGTTTGTCAGTCAATTTTATAAAATCATGAACTTATGTCCCAGAGAAATGGATGAGATAACTTCATTCATCAAAGGGGCCATTTGTGACGAACAATGTTTTGGGCGCTGCCTTTATATTCATGGTGTTCCTGGAACTGGCAAGGTTGGTGATTTTTCTATATTTACTTATCCTTTTACCATGTTATTATTAATTTTCTAAAATCTACCAAAAAGATGGATAATTATTAGTTGTTTTTATTGTGGTTCTTTGTTTCATAAGTTTGTTCACTAATTGTATCTGTATTTAAACTACAGACGATGAGTGTACTAGCAGTAATGCGAAGTCTAAGGTCTGAAGTTGATGCTGGAAGAATGAAACCCTACTGCTTTGTAGAGATCAATGGTTTAAAACTGGCTTCACCAGAAAATATTTATAAGGTAAAATTTTAGAAGTTATACCTACCTTTTGAAACTGTCTTTTCTTTCTCACTTTTTTTAGGTTAAATATGGTTGGGCCTGAACGCATGCAGGTTATTTATGAAGCATTGACAGGAAATAGAGTGGGATGGAAAAAGGCTCTTAACTGTCTTAATGAACGATTTTCTGATGGCAATAGAGTAGGCAAGAATCAGCCATGTGTTCTACTAATAGATGAGCTTGATCTTCTTTTAACTAGAAACCAGTCGGTAATTCTTGTTGCGTTTTGTTTACTTTCGTAATGCAAATTACTAATAGACTTCTTCTACTCTTTTTGCATGTACTTCTTGTACACTTTTTGTGTGATCACTTGAAATTATCTGAATTACATCTTTTTACAGGTGCTCTACAATGTTCTTGATTGGCCCACCAAACCACGCTCAAATCTAATTATTATAGGTAACAGTTTACTGTTCACAGCATTCGTTCTTCTTCCTTCTTCACTTGCTGTGCTTTTATCTATGATTTGAATGCTATTCCCTTCTAATTGATTTTCAGGGATAGCAAACACAATGGATCTTCCCGAAAAGCTACTTCCACGTATTTCAAGCCGAATGGGAATTCAGAGATTATGTTTTGGGCCTTATAATTATCATCAGCTACAAGAAATCATATCCACTCGTCTAAAAGGCATTGATGCATTTCAAGACCAGGCTATTGAATTTGCTTCAAGGAAGGTAAGAGCTAAGTATCTGTTATACTGTGTGGCACAATTTGAAATTGTACGTTCTTTGAACAGTATTTGAAGGGTTAATTTTAGAAAACCACCTTCAACTATGGGGTGTCTCGGAAAATCCTCTTTAAGTAATTTAATTTGAGAAAATTACGCCCCTCAAGTTTGGGGGTGTTGTAGATAACCTCCATCAATTTCCAAAATTTGGTTAACCATCCAGATCTTTTCTCACTTTAACCCTTCGAAAAAACACTGTTAAGTCTAACTTGTCACATCACAAGTTGGTAACTTGGAAAGGACCAAAATACCCCTCAATCGCAAATAATTATCCTGAGTTTTGCCTGATTAGAGAAATAGAGGAGGGAGATGGAGAAAGCATTGTAAATAGGTCGAGGTCTTTTTTTTACCGGTAGGGGCTTTTTTTTATCTGAAAGGGGTTGACTCCCAAATGGGCATTTCAGCTATTTACATTTTGGAACACCGTGAGGGGGTTTGTTGAGAAAAGTTTGGAAGATCGGGTGGGTTTTGTGAGACACCCCATAGTTGAGGGGGATTTTCTTGAATTTTCAAGTTGAGGGGGTTATCTACAATATGCTTAAACTTAAGGGTTTTTTTTTCAAATTAAAATTGTAGAACCGGTATACTGAGACACCTCCAATAGTTATAGGGGGGTTTTCTAAATTAACCCTCATTAAATAACCCATCATGCTACTATGTTTCATAGAAAACATCTGAAATTGTCATGAGGAGTATTACCACCCACAGCTGGACGAGTTTTCAGTCCATGGAATTGTGTCATAGACACTATCAAGAAGAATTGTCATAACGAAGATGTGAACTACAGCAAAATGTATGCAAGCCTGACAGAGGAAAGGGAAAGCGATGACTAGGGAAATAGAGAAAAATGACCTGTTAGGTTATTTCTTAGAGTTTTGGTTTGGGTGATGGGCTAAACTTGTACAAGGATGATGAGAAACAGAAATCCGATTAACTATATACCACAAACAAATGATTAAACGAGTTTAATATAAATTTCAGTGGAAAATGAATCATTCTTGGTTGTCTGCATAATTAGGCGCTTCTATTTTGAGGCACCAATATGGAACATGGTTATCCGTTACATAATCTTATTCTGCAACATTGCTTGCTGAAAAGAATTCCAATTAACTATACACCACACTAGATAATGAAACAAGTTTAATATGAATTTCAGTAGAAATGAATCATTCTTTGGTTGTCTGTGTAACTAGGGCATTTGCTTCCATTTTGATGACCAATATGACACCTGATTATCTGTTACATAATCTTAGTTGACAACATTGCTTGCTGGAATAACCGGTTTAAGTTTTAAATTACTTCATTTGCAGCACCTATCTATGTGTCTACTGTTCCATTGGGCACTGTTGAAATTAAGCAGAGACATTCTACTCCTTTCCACCAGTGAAAAATGTTCGTTTATTTGTGTTGCTATTGGTGTTTTTTGGGGGTGGGGGTTGGGGGGGGATGGGGGTGGGGGTGGGATGTTGGAGGGGCGGGGGTTGTTTGTTATAGTTTATATTGTCTCAATACTTATATAGTTCTTTCATTGTAGGATTTGTTTATTGAATGTTGTACATTTCTGTGATTTTCTTCATATTTCTGGTAAATCTCCTATTTCAAGGGATGATCTAATTTGCCAATTTACTTTTCGAATCCAAAATCTTTGTGCTCTATAAGGTCTTTTAGTATGCATTTTGTTAAATGTGAATTTAAAATTTTGTGAACGAATTAGCCCCACATCATATGCTTGCAGACATTCATTTCTGAGTAATTTCAGCAGTTCATCAGTACGTTTAAATAAGTGTAACTTGCAAGCAATTTCTTATGTTTACTGTATATCATTTGTACTCAGGTTGCAGCTATGTCTGGCGATGCTAGGCGTGCCCTAGAAATATGTAGACGTGCAGCAGAACTAGCAGATTATCGACTTAAACACTCACCGACATCATCATGTTCTATGAATGCTTCCTCTAAAGGTTAGTACAAGTATAAAGGGCATATGGGATGAATTTCATATATGAAACATAGTTGTCACCATGCTATATTATTAGTAAATTCCTCTAGATTTTAGGGTCAACATTAAATACTCATAGCTTAATAATTGATGGATTTGATTTTTCTGGATAGCTCAAAAAGATGTTTCTTCAATATGAAGAGTTTATGGGTTATTTGTTTCTTGTTAACTAGATGGCTTGAAAATGAATATGATTGTTTGCGCTTAAATTTTATGATGTACATTGTGGATAATAATTGAAGTGTTACCTTAATAGGTTTGTTTTTATTCTTGCTTACCAGGAAAGTGTTCTGTTGGTATGCCCGACATTGAAGCTGCTATTCAGGAAGTATTTCAGGCACCACATATCCAGGTAAGTAGAAGATGACAGTACTCTTTTATCATGACACTTACAGTCCAAAGTTTTCAGACTCATTCACTATAATGAAACTAGCATAAAAGATCTGAAAGAAGCTCCCTATAATACAGTTATATTACAACCTTTGTTTTCATATAGTATATGTTCTCCATTGCAGATAATGAAAACTTGTTCAAGACTGTGCAAAATTTTGTTGGTGGCAATGGTTCACGAACTCTACAGAAGTGGAGTGGCTGAAATAACCTTTGAAAAGGTTAGCTTCCTTCCATATCTTGTGTGTGTCTATGTTTTACTATTTTTATCAAATCATACAGTGACTGAGAGCAGGGCTAGGTATTTTTTTAGCAAATATAAACAAAAAAATCTCATTGTGGTATCCAAACAGATCCTTAATGAAATCTTTGATAGAAAAAATTAACGTATCTTCAGCTGTAGTTCAGTATTCTGACTATTTTCTAAGCATTGTGGAGCAAGTAGTACCTTCATAAACCATCAACTGCATCTCACGCAGCTTTCTGTTCTGATGTCCTTCTGATCTTTCTGTTGCATCTCTTTATTGCAGCTGGCAACAACTGTTTTCTCTCTGTGTTCAAGCAATAGGGAACCAGTCCCTGGATGGGATAACCTACTGAAAGTAGGGTAAGTTGTACATTATCATTTGTGTACTTATCCATGGGATAACCTACTGAAAGTAGGGTAAGTAGTTGTTCTTTATCATTTGTGTACTTATCCTTTAAAGGATCACCTATATCCATATAATTTAAAGCAAGAAAATGGAAATTCTGTAAAGAGAATGGTTATATGAGAGAAAGATGAAGGAAAATATAAAAAACTGCAGCAGTATGGCATGCAGCTTTACAGAAGTGTACTTTTGCTTTCCATATCTTTCTAATATCCAAAGAAATAAGATCTAGTTTGTCATCCTTTTGCGAGGATCTCATGATGCTTAACCTTAATAGATACAATATAGGTTGCATGGGTATGGATACAGGTATGGGTACTAGACACGGCAACTTTGTAAATGGTACTGTACGGGATACGGCTATATATATGCATCATGCATGTTATGTATACTTATATGTATTAAAATTAATAATTTACATAAGATCAATATTATTTTTGCATTTACATAAGATCAATACATAAGAAATAGGTGTGAAGTGTAGAATATACATCCAAGAAGTGTATGAGGAGTGTTTTAAGTTAAAACATGTATTATATAATTGAGTATAGGCCCGAATAAACATATGCACATATTCAAGAAGTGTCCAAGAGGTTTGGATATGGGTACGGGTACGGGTCGGGTACGGGTAGGTACGACTTCCTGATAGAAGTACCCAAGTAACATAGGATACAATGAACTATTAAATTGTTGCATTTATCAAAATGCTCGAAAGTGCTGGATAATCAGCTGAAGCTTTTAAGGATTTTTCCTTTTTTCATACTGGACAAGTTTACATACTAAGTTTGCATGATGCTTAACCTTAATCAGATACTATGAATTGTTATTTTTATCATAACAGTGAAAGTGCTGGGCCATCTGCTGAAGTTGTTTCATAAATTTTCTTTTTTCCTTTTTCATACTGGACTAGTGGCATGGTAGAAAATGTCTAGTTTTTGTCATATTATCACTAAATTGATTGAAAATGCATTTTAGTCACTTTTCTGGATTACCATAAGAAAGTTTGCTATTTGTATTAGTTCTAGTGTGAAGTTTGGATCATTACTAAACGTCAATCTATTTTTATTGAGGAATCTGATCTTTGGCTCTCCTGGATTCTTGTACAGCTGCAAGCTTGGAGAGTGTAGAATCATTCTTTGTGAGGAAGGTGTGAAGCGCAGATTACAAAAGCTGCAGCTGAATTTCCCAAGGTTAATAAGAAAATGCTTTACTTGATTTTATTTTTCACTGCAATGTTTTTTAACTGTGGGTTGTAGTCAACTATAAACTGGAACCTTATAGTAGGTAGTCTGAAGCCTTGGCGAGTAGTGTGGGTAACTCTTGTTGGCTTCTACCAAGTTTGTGCCCTCTCTTAATATAGATATTTTATAAACAACATTGAATGTAATTTCATATATTTTCCCTTTGTATTAGCGTATGTGCATGTCTTGTAGAGAATAGGACCAGTTCATGATCCCGGCTAAAACAGCTGGCATATATTTATGGAGATAGTAGGAATGGATCAGAGTGTTCCAACTGAATTGTTTCATTGAGGCTTATATGAGCGGTGTTTAAGCTTGTACAGTTATAAGATGACAATAGAACCATACGGAGCTTACTGGGAAAATTTTAGATGAAATTGAAGGTAGTTGGATTTCCGTGCCTACTTTAAATTTTCAAGTAGTGACTTGGAAGGGTTTTTGAGGGAGACAAGAAGAGGAATTGGTCAATCATGTAAGATGTACTTCAGGTTCATGGATAATATATTCACTCTGAGAAGATATATCATGTATCAAACAATATTGTTTAAGTAGTTGGCACAAAGTGGATGCGCGGCTTATTAGACGGTACCATTTGCCTTAAATTTGCATCATATAGTGAAATGGATTAGTTCCTTGAAATGTATTTTTCTGTGAATAAAAGTCACAGGATGACATGTGCTTTATATAATTCCTTCAGCTGATATCATCTCATTGGCATTTAACTCTGATTGAATGGTACGAGATCTTTTACCAAATGGATGCATTTAACTTGGCTTGAAGTGTCCAAAGTTTGCATAAAGTTACCAATTCCATTAGAATTATCCTGTTCGCGGCTTTTGTTCTTATAACAAATGTTGCATAATCACTCTGGCTAAGGTCTTCTTCAGCCTAGGAAATGGTTTTGTACTGCTCTGCATTTGCATAAAATGCATACTCAATAAAAAAAGTATCATCAAGTGCACCCATTTTATCTTTATAATTGTTGCCTATTATTGTCTGGGACAGAATTTATAGGACCTCAGATAGGTTTGATAGTAAGTCGATGACTTATCTTCACAGGAACCTTCTTAAACTTTGTTTTCCATTATCATCACACCTATTATTGGAACTTTGCTAGTGATTGGCAGATCGAGTTGGCACTTCCTTTTCACATTGAAGTTAGCCTCATAATATAAGGAACACTCCCTTTATCTTTAGTCTATTTGGATACCTCCAAAATAGAGCAAATTGTCAGAAGTTTATCTTGTAGGAAAAAGTACAAGATTATCCTCTAAATTTCTTAAAGTGCCACTTGCATCAAGGTTAATCTCCCATATTTTCCAAGTATAATAATTAACTCCCTGTGAGCTAATGGGGCCTTGTTCGAACAATTTATTAATATATCACCATTAACAAAACAAATTAGAAAGTTTATATGAATAACCAACTCAAAAGGTTTCCGCCTGAAACTGCTTCATTTGTGAATACTTCAAATTCGAGGCTCATCAATAATCAACAAAAGGAGCATGCACTTCAACCTGTTTCCTGTTTGAATTTTGAAAATTTTTTTGGATATCAGCATTACCTCACTATTTAATTATGACTTGAGTGAATTCCCCTTGGATAAATTACCTATGAGTTAAAATGCAAGGTTTCTACACGTAGATTTGCACCACTGGCTTCCTTTCTTTTATGTTGTCTTACTGTACATTGCATACTGATGCGTCATGCTTGAACTATTCTGTGGCAGTGATGATGTTGCTTTTGCACTGAAGGATTGTCCAGAACTCCCTTGGTTATCCAAGTACCTTTGATCTCAGGATTGGTGATCTGCATTCTGAAAGTTACTTGCTACGTCTTCTCATAGTAAGTCCTATTCAAGTTTTTGAGCGAATAATTCCCTATTTCGAATTTATGTAATATGTGCAACTGTTGAAGAATTTCTAAAACTTATATCCTTTAGAGAAATGGGTGGAAAGCTAGTACTAGCTTAATCGTGGTTTTTCAAAATGCATCTTTTTCCATCCGTTTGATTTGATTTTTTATCTTTTGCCCGCTATTAGTTGCTTATATGGTTGGATTATCTTGACAGTAATAAGATGGTAATTTAAGTTCGGTGTTAGTCTCCACTTCTGTATTTTACTTGAGATGTTTACCTCATTCTCATCTTCATCCAATGTCGATAAAAGTTCAGGGTTTTGATGTGAAGCAGACAACACTAAACTAAATTATGTAATTTCCTTCAGCAGGTAAAAAAGCAAAAGACGTTTAGACCTGTCTAATGGTAGATTTCCCACCTGCACAAACTTCCTCCTACCCGGAAATTGTTGTTGCTGATATTTATTATTCCAGATGTCTCCTATAAAAGCAACTGTATCACGTCACCTAATCAACCAGTCTCTGGAGCTTAATATTGGAGATGCTGAAATGAGTGGTATCTCAGTTTTGGAGCGCTTAATTTGGAGAACTACGACCCAAACAAGTTGGGATAATGGCTTTGTTGTTGTAATTAATCTGTAGAAATCCTTTCGATTGTATCATGCTGTTTATGTGAATGAAATTATTTGCTCAGAAATTTATTCCTGCAGAACACTTTGGTTTAACTTGGGTTTCGACATTGATACTCAATGATCGTTAAAAATGTTTTTAGTGTAAAATCAGCATATCTAAGAACATTTCATCTTTCTTGTACTAATTATAGGGGATTTAAATCAACATTATTATTGTTCTAGAACTGGAAGCTATAACTTGCAAACGTGGCGTGGTGATTGGATTTTTGGGTTATAGTTATACATATTATAAATTTTTGCATCAGAATCAGGTTTTGCACTTTATGGAATTTGGACACATAGGCACTGAACCCAACTACTCATCGAAATGCATTAGTCATCAAATACCCCATGTTTCTAGTAGTACAAAAGTACTACAAAATTTGTGGTATAATTAGTATTACCCTTATTTTTTTCATAAGAGATGGGTTCAATTGCACTGTTTTATTAATGAGGTTTTAGTGCTGGATGCTTAACAACTTGTTGGTTTTCAGCATAATTTGCGGTTCACTCTTTTCTCCGATTAACAGATTCATTCATCATTAAACAATCAAACATGAATTTTCCTTCACTCATCAATCTCTGCATCCAGCATTCTACTGTACCCAGTATTCTACAGTGGCAAATCATCTTCGGAGAAAATGAGACCAAATTAAAACCGAATCTTGTATGCCTAGCTATCCAATAAAAACGATAAAATATGTTTTAAGAAGGTGCAACGAAGTATTTCATTCCTTGGAGAACATTGCGCTGTTTCTTCGCATCAATAATCAACATCAGCTGGTAAAAGGCAGCATTTTTATTTAAATCTATATATATTGGGCTATCATTGTTGAGGAAAATTGAGAGAATTATTCTTGATATTTTCATTGATTCATTAGGGTTACAATACATCAGTATATATACAGAAGAAAAAGGAGGCAGAATCAGAAACTACCTAATCTAGAAATAGGAAAATATCTTAACTAAATCCCTCAAATTAAGGGATATCATTAACAAACCTAATATCTACCAATAATAATACTAATATTTACAGCTAATATACATCTCGACTCTCCCTCCCCCTCAAGCTGAGGAATAGATATCTTCCATTCCTAGCTTGGAAATATTATCATGAAAATTGGAACTGCTCAACCCTTTGAAAGAACGAGAGAAGGACTGATTTTTGGGAACTCCGATAGAGATTTTCTCAGTTGAGATGATTCAGATGTGAGGTAATCCTCTCTATATATAGGCTTTCTACCTCCTTCTCCGTCCCCAAATAGCCGCCTGATTTTTCTCCGCTATCCGCGTTCTCCTCAGATTTCTCCGTAACGCCTGATCCTGATTAGAGAATATCCCACAGAATATGAGATATTCCCTAACAGCCGGATCAATTTAACGGTCGGGTAACATATTTGGCCCATGAGGTCAAAAACACTTACATCTCCCACTTGGCCGAAATGGCCAAATACTTTCTGAGCATACACTCCCACTATCCGTGAGATGTGACTCAAGATGTAATTTCATACTCCCACTATCCATGAGATATATACACTTTTCACTCTACGTGAATAAACCGAGTACAACCATTATCCATGATTGTCTCCTTTCATTTTTCATAAAAGTTTCCTTGACTTAGACATTTCTAAGTCCCATCAAACTAACATGTTTGATGAATGTACCTGCTGGGATACCCTTCGTCAAGGGATCAGCAATCATATCACTAGTAGGAATATAAGTCACACAGACTTCTTCCTTTTCCACAATATCACGAATATAATGATATTGTATCTCAATATGTTTTCCTTTAGAACTGTTTGCACCACTGTTGATCAAGCTGATGGCTGCTTGATTATCACAGTATATCTCAATTGGTCCATCTACCAAATTGAGATCCAAGTCCTTTAGGAACCGTCTTATCCAGACTGCATGAGTAGTGGCCATACTACAGGCTATGTACTCAGCTTCTTGTGTGTATCTTGCCACACATCCCTGTTTCTTACTACCCCAAGAAACAGCTGCACCACCAAAAATGAACAAATGTCCAGAAGTGGACTTCCCGTCATCTTTGTCTCCTCCGAAATCAGCATCAGAGTAACCAAGAACCTCAAGCGAATCTGCTTAATAAACTAACTTATGGTGCACAGTACCTCTCAGGTACTTCAAAAATCCTCTTAACAGCCTCCCAATGTGCTGGACCAGGATTACTTTGATATCTACTAACCAAACTCACCGGATATGCCAGGTCTGGTCTAGTGCACAACATTGCATACATCAAGCTTCCAACAGCTTGTGCATACGGGACATCAAGCGGTTTCTGTCCTTCTCCAGGACATTGTTCTTTACACAAACGCTTTCCCATAACCAAAGGTGTTGGTGCAGGATTACAATTCTGCATTCCAAACCTTCTAAGTATTGTATGCAAATATCTTTCTTGGTTTAAACTTAACATTCTAGACTTTCTATCCCTAAGGATCTGTATACCAAGAACATAGGATGCATCTCCCATATCCTTCATCTCAAATTCACTACTAAGTGCTGACTTGATTCTGTTCAGCACTTCTATGTCATTTCCAGCCAGTAGAATATCATCCACATACAAGGACAATATTATAAAACTGCTGCCACTCTTCAAGACATATACACAGTTATCCAATTTATTTGCAACAAAACCAAGTTGGATAACAGTATTGTGAAATTTGAGATACCACTATCTAGATGATTGTTTTAAACCATATAAAGATTTCTTTAATTTATATACTTTATTTTCCTATCCTTCAACCTGAAATCCCTCAGGTTGATTCATATATATTACTTCCTTCAATTCTCCATTGAGGAATGCAGTCTTGACATCCATTTGGAAAAGTTCCAAGTCAAGATGTGCAACAATTGCTAAGATAATTCTTATAGAAGCAAACTTAGCCACCGGAGAGTAAGTCTCCTGATAATCTATACATGCCTTCTGAGTAAAGCCTTTAGCAACTAAACGGGCTTTAAATGTATCAATAGACCCATCAACCCGATATTTCTTCTTTAACACCCATTTACATCCTATGGACTTCCTATCTTCTGGTAAGTCACATAGCTCCCATACATTGTTTCTCTCTATTGAGTCAAGCTCCCTTTTCATGGCTTCCAGCCATTGTTCCGATTCATGTGTGTTCATAGCATCCACATAATTCAAGGGATCAGCTTGCTCATCTATGTCAATATCTACCGAGAAACATGATGGTTCGCATGAATACAAATAATAATCATCCATCCATGCAGGTGTTGTTCTGGGTCTTTTATTACCACTAATGTTGACAGGTTGGACAGGTTCAGCTGGTTGATTTATCATAGGCATATTCTCATTTAAGGGCTCATCTTCCATTATTGGATGATTTACTTCATCCACTATGTCCAGGTCATCGTTGGGAACATCATCTAAGTCTAGCAGAGGTTGTACTGCCTCTTGAACTTGTTCCTTTTCCTCTAGATTTTCTAGAAAAGTAGCATCTCTACTTTCAATGACCCCTTTCTCTTCATGAAAGAACCTATATCCTTTAGACTTTTCAGAATAGCCTATAAATCTACACTTTAAGGTTTTGAGATCCAGCTTATCTCTAACTTGATATGGAATGAGAACATGTGCAACACAACCCCATTTTCTTAAGTGACTTAATTCAGGTTTGTGTCCATTCCAAATCTCATACGGTGTTGACTCGACTGATTTTGTGGGAATCCTATTCAAAATATAATTCGCAGTCAATACTGCTTCTCCCCAAAAATCCTTAGAGAGACCAGAATGTGACAACATACATCTCACTGCATTCATCAATGTTCTATTTTTCCTTTCAGCCACACCATTCTGTTGTGGCGTGTAAGGCATAGTGGTATGTCTCTTAATGCCATAATGAATGCAATAGTTTTCAAATTCCTTTGAATTGAATTCTCCACCTCTATCAGTTCTTAACACCTTAATATATCTTCCAAGTTTCCTTTCTACTTCTGTCTTGTATCTTTTAAAACATTCAAATGCTTCTGATTTTCTGTTTAAAAGATACACAAAAGTATACTTGGAATAATCATCTATGAAAGTTATAAAATATTCTTTATTACCACGTGTCTTTACGCTTAACGGACCACAAATGCCAGAATGAACTAACTCTAAAAGTTCATTTGCTCTCTGACCTTCAGAAAATGACTTTCTAGTCATTTTCCCTGTTAAGCAGTGTTCACAGGGTAATGTCCTTACACCTGTCAGATTTGGTAACAAATCCATTTTAATTATCTGATCTATCTTTCTATTACCAGGGTGTCCTAGTCTCATATGCCATAGATCAAAATCAGATAAAAG